GCAGGTGCCTAAGGAGGAGTCGACTATTCCGGCCCCGGTCCCGTCGTCGTCCACTGAGAATGCGCCCGCTCTCCGCGTGAATGGGTTCGACGCCGCCGCGCAGACGCTCACTGTGGCGTTTGATGCGAAGGCTGCTGGACGAGTCTTCAAGGATCCCCGCGAGGAGGTTGGCTTGCCCGACCCGAAGGTCTTCATCGTATCCTGGGTCGACTACTGCAACAAGTACGGCATGGGTTATGCGCTCACCGATGGCTCTGTCGGGGTGCACTTTAACGACAGTACGACGATGATTCTCTCCGCAGATAAACAGTGCGCACCCTTTGGCCAGCTGCACGTCATTGCATTACTGACCTTTCCCACAGTCATTTTGATTACGTCTCGTCGAGGCGCCAGGGCTCGGTATACGTGCGCAAGAACTACACGGTGTCTGTATATCCCGAAGATCTGAAGAGCAAGGTGTATCTCCTTAAGCATTTCGAACGCTATATCATGGATCGTCTCTACGGCGAATACGACTACACTTACGAAGACAAGGAACGCACGAAGGGCATGGACTTCGTGCAGAAGTACCTCCGCATGAAGCACGTTATCGTGTTCAAGATGAGTCACGACGTCTTACAGGTCCGTCTTCGCGTCTTCTTGTCTTCTCTCGACGTCACTGATCGCTCGGTTTGACAGTTCAACTTCTACGACCATTCAAAAGTCATCCTCTCGTCCCAAGGCCTACTCATCACCCACATCGACAAGGACTACAACCTCACCCGGTGGACTCTGAGCGAGGTAATGGGCCTTGCACTTCGCCCACCGGTCTCGGACCCGAAGCAGGCCAAGTTTAATCAGCGCCTCTTCGACAAGATCAAGTACTGTAAGGAGGTACTGGTGTCGATCAAGAACGCCAGCTCGAGTTCGGGTTCTGGCGAAGATCAACAGGTGCAGGGGCAAGGCGAGGATCCGGAGGGCTTCGGGATGCCCGGCGGACCGCCACCCATGAGCACTCGCTCGTCAAAGCAGTCGTTGCGCTAGCGGTCCTCCTGCAGGTAGTTACAGCGGCGAGGAGGTTCGTACCTTGCTGGCGTCGTTCAAATCGTTAGCGCCGACGTCTGTTCTGGATATTTGCATTTGTACGATACCCTCCGATGAATCCACGACCGTATGCATGTTCACACGTCTCTTTATGATCATCTCATCCTCTCCTCTCGCTGCCTCTCTTGTCACTCTCTCGTCACTTCTCGTCTGTCTGGTCTCGCACATCACCCATTCGTAGCCCGCACCTATCCACGATATGTATTAGACGCATCTACTTAGTCACCGAACCCGTGGTCATGTACGTTGCCGTTTGCTCACAACCGTACGTAGGTGCGGGTCAGAATGACATGGCTTCTAGCCCTCTCGCACTCTACTACTATTAGTATAGGCGACGGCGGTGATGGCGTTCCAGTACTTGCTGAAGTTGTGTCTCAACATGTCCGAGTAAGTCAAGCTTTCCACTGAACTGGAATATGGGACGCAACATTATTCCGACTTGGATAAAGCTGCTTCGTATATTGACAGGAAGTGAGCAATCGAGGCCTGCGTTCAGGCAACATCTGGCAACATTCAGCCTGAGGCTGAGGAGGCCTGCCGCCTCAGGCTTGCACTGGCTGCCAAATATGGAACTATGTTGTTTGGCAAGAGCCTTAGAACCAAACAACCGCCTCCTGTAGGCGCCGGTGCTGTGCTTCTACAACACAATTTCCGATGCGCTCCACTCTTGTACTTTCACAGGACATCTTGATGAACGCTTCAACGGATTCTTTCTTGGGCTTCGATTGCTCTTATACCGCCACACGAGAGGTTTCGTGAGTCTACGGGACGGAGCACTCAGCACTGGCACTGCCAGTGGTGGAATGTGAACGGGCGACGCGTGTGGTCCCGGCAGACTAGTAGGCAGGAAGCTGTGCGCGAGAGCGCTATGGTACAGCATGTCTCTTTTTGGTAGCTCCGACTGTCGAGATGCTAATGAGACTTGAGTTGTTGAGATCAAGTGCGGTCACCGCCGCTGGCCGCGTTTCGCCAGAACGTACATCGCATTCATGCGCCCGCTGTCAAATCTAGCGGTGTACTGGGCTAGAAGCCTCCATTCTTGCAATTTTACAAGGAAAGGAAACGCTGGACGCTGTGACGTCCTTCCGGATCTGGACAGCTCGGAACGGACTCACTGGCAACCGGCGTGCACCTGTGGCGTTTCTTCAAGTTTGACGCGACGCAAGGGACCCATCAGGTGTGGGATGGCAATCAAAGGTTCTTCGTGTCTGGCTTTTCTGAGAGTCCGAGTCATGCTAACATACCGTTACCATCAGCTTCAACTCGATGGCATTTTGACCGGAATCGTCAACGTGAACCGTCTGCGACCGAGAAAGGAACGACAGTGAAGGCAGGCTGTGTGGGGGATTTTCACAGTGGCTCTGCTGGAAGTATACGGCTCATAGAACTCCGAAATTGTTACCATTATTCTGGGACACGGTGAGCCCTTTGAGCAGATTTCCGAGGTGCTTCTAGGTTAGTGGTAACTGCGCATATGGATAGGATCCGCTATGGTGTGAATCACTGTACACAGTACACTACAGCGGCTGAAATTTATAAAAGCCAGTCGAGGGTGGCGCTCCTCCACACAATCGCACTCCATATCGCCTGTCCTACCGTGGACGGCAGTCCTTTTTGTCTTACCCGCCTCACCCATCCCCTTGCGAAATACCGAGCCCGTTTGGACCGTTGCCCCTTGCATTCGACGACCCCATGTCGGCCTCAGACCTATACTCGATGCTTCTGTCAAGCGAAGATTCTTTCGCCACGGAGTACTTCGACACAGATGTGAGTAAAATGGTCGTCGTTCATTTACCCTCATGTCTCATTAGCGATGCAGAGTCTTTCTTCTCTCGGAAGTGATGCGAATTTTCCGTCGCCCCTCGACAATCCGACGAACCTGTCGGAGCTCCTACGAGAATTCGGTCTACCGGACTTGCCGGACTGGTCCTCGCAGTTGGCAGACGGTTCTTCAATATACCACGACTTCCATTCTCACTACACCTGGTCACCCCCCTTTGTCCCTTCGCCGCATCCACGGTCGCCACCACCTCTTCCTGCGCTGGTCCCCGAACCTGAACCCGCGCTTGCAACACAGGAGCCAACCTCGACCACGCTGTCACCCACCCCTACAACAAACGGCGACGAAAGCTTCCACATCGCTCCTAGCATGGACGACACGGGGCTTGGAAGAACCAAATCAAGTACTGTGGCGGTGGACGACTCGGGTTCAACAGCGCAGACGTGTGAATTTGAGACCGATCTCAGCGTCCATGGAACAGCATCCGAGTTGCACGATCAAAAGGATCAAGAACGCCAGACAGCGCAATCTCCACAAGTACTGCGCCAGACCTTCCGAAGGAACTTGAAAAGACGCGCGGAAACAGACGAGGAGGAGGATTGTGCCGGACAGTCTACCCTCATGCCTCAGAAGAAACGGCCAAGACGAAGATTGCAGAGCGATGACGAGTATCGCCCGAACTTGCGCCGTGCATCTTCGTCCCGCCAAAATACCCACATCAAATGTCCTTCAACGCACATCGCGTGTCGCAAGAGTGGCTGCCAGCAAACCTTTACACGAGAGCGGGATCGGGACCGGCATGAATCCGTTACGCATGAACAGCGCAGAGTCCAATGCCTGCATTGCAACTTGATACTCTCGCGCGCGGACTCTGCAGAGCGCCACTCGAGAAACAGACACAGGGGGAAACCGTTATGGATCGTGGCCGTCCAAATTGTTGAAGATGCACCATCCGCGGACGAAGTAGCTGCCGGCGGATGTGGCTCGACAGAAACCACAGATAATGCGACTCGTGTTGCCAGGCGAACTTCGACCCGTCCCAATTCATAACCATGGCCACTTACACGCTGCGACTCGGAGAAGTATACCTGCCGCGACCGAAGCTGCATAGCGGTAGGTCACTAAGCTGAGCAGGTAGTAGCCTGCGCCGGCTGGCGCTGTGCGAGCCCGTCCTTTGTCGTTACGGCATTTGCTCTGAGATGAGCTGCTTTACCAATGGTCAGGCATCCGGTGTGGCCTGGGGGAGGTATTGGCGGCATGTATACCCACAGAGCTCCGTTCAATTTGGTGCAGAAACATTATGCATAGATCTAGTAGTTCATAGTAGCTGCGTTCAAGATCATCTACTACAAGTTCTGTATCTAGTTTCGTCAGAGACTGATCAATATATACCCAATACTTACTCGCTGTATTAGCCCGAGTGCGTCTGTTCAGACCGTCTACAGTTGATTTCGCAAGGTATATAACGCTGCTCGTCGCAGTACTTACAAGTTTTTGAAACTAGGTCATCTCGTACTACTGGCACCAAAGGCGGACTTCATAGCGCAAAGCATCAACGTCCGCCCGACGTCCGCCCATGACAATTCATCAATTAAATAGCTGGCCTAGGCTCGAGCTAATACATGTGCGACGGAGATCTAAAAGGAGTGGGACGGCGGTGTCGATGTGGCGCGCGTAACTCGCGTGGTTTTCGCGTATGCTCGCGTGGCGTCCACGTTCGCCGCGTGGCCTCATGTGGCGCACCCTCCTCCCATAAGCTCCCGGCGTCTGCCGCCCGCGGGCGCCTGCGCAAGCCCCGCCCGAGGTGTCCCCGAGGTGGAATTTCCGGGCGAAGTGACGGGAAAAATGAGTAGAAAAAAATACATACAGTGTACACATAGGTTATAAATGGGAAGCCTGAGTGATGGGAAGAAAAATCACAACTCAGTGCCGGGAAATTGGACAACTCAGCCCTGGGAAATGAGATATCAATACCGGGAAAATAAGGAAGATTGGTACCAGGAAAACAGGACACATCAATAAGTACCAGGAAATAATGGGAAACACAGCAGTAATACCAAAGAAATAAACACCAACTTGAAGAAGACAGAGATATCAATGAAAATGTACCACAGGCCGGGAAATATTGAATAAAAATGTAATCACAAGGGCAACACACAGCATTGAATGATCCAGATTAATATCAGTACTGGGGAAACAGGACACATCAATACCGGGAAATAATGGGAAAAACAGCGGTAATATGGAAGAAATGCCCTGCAGCAGATTATAAAATCACAAGACAAATGTATACACAGGAGAGTGTACTGCAGGCCAGGAAACATTGAATCAAAATGTAACCACAAGGGCAACACACAGCATTGAATGATCCAGATGCTGCCAGCCCAAGTATGTAATCTCAAAAGTAACATGAAGCAGTGAATGAAAACCCGCCGCCAGACCTGTGGCGAAGCCCAGGTCTGGCAGGCTCAAGCATGTAACCTTAGGGGTAACATGGAGCACAGAATGAAAGAACTGCCGCCAGACCTGTGGCGAAGCCCAGGTCTGGCAGGCCCAAGTATTGCAATCTTATGGGCGACATGAAGCAGTGAATGAAAGAACCGCCCCGTCAGCCCGTGGCGAAGCCACGGGTTGACGACGCTCGTGGTTCGTGAGCGACAAGCATTTTCAAGTTACAGTCGGTAGCGCCGCTTTGACCGTGACGCTTCCGCTTCAGCCCACTATGTAGTAGCGCCCGCGAGCTCAACGGCATGCGGCCATGATGATGTACCGCACTGGCGTCTGATTCCTGTCTGTTCGTCATATATAACCATGGGCGTAGACATCCGCTCCTGCATCCCCAATCTTACTTGTCTACAGTACTTGCGCCACTCATATCTTCCATGCAGCCGCCCTCTAATTTTCAAGTTGCGCCTCGGGCATCCCCCGAGTCCGCCGCGCTCTCCGCCACGTCTCATCCGCCTCGCCACTGCGTGCGGTTTGTGATGGAGGCGTCATTACCTGACATCGCAGCCAAGACTGGCGATGATAGCAATAACAGTGTACGATGAGTGCGTTCATGCGCGTGATAGTCATCATCTCACTTGGATCAATATTGTCTCCCATTTAGGTGCCACACAACGCCACTCCAGGTATCCGTCTCTCAGTCAAACCTGTTCCTGTGGCCGGTTCTACTGCCCTCAATTATCGGATGGTCTCCTCTAGCGCTATGATAGAGTGCGAAGACCCTAGTGCATTACAATCTCGACATCAGACGTCGTTTATATGCCATCCGGAAGGACGATCCGAAGCATTCCGAGTCCAGGCGACCTTTTCTGTGCGGCGTCTTCGTAATGACGAGTTTCAAGCCCACTCGATCAGGCCGTCTTCACTAGACCAAATCCAACCAGAGCATCGTCTCGAAGATCGACTGCTTGACGGACACGCCACACGCGATCGTGTACCCGACGCAACACCGCACTTGCCCGGCCTAGCGGAGATGGAGCAGTCGGCGATCACCTTGCTATCGCGTATGCGCGCAAGCAGAACCCGTTCCCCGGTTGCGAATCCCCAAGCGCCATCGTCATCGTCAGTCCTGCCCGACGCAGAGGACGATGCCGCTTCTAGCGAATACGAGGACTCGCAAGACGGAGCTACAGGAGACATCAGTGACCATAATGATGTCGATCTACATCGTGAACCAGGACTCAGTGCTGAGCCTCGGCGGATGAATGCCTCCGTGGAGCACCCCAGTGAGGCAGCACCGTTCCAGGTATACAGCGTTTCGGGCCCTAAAAGCAAGAAAAGGTCGAAACGGAGGACCCCCTGGGCTGAACGGCGCACATTGCTCGGGAGCCCACGCAGACAGGTGGGGGCACCCATCTCATGTGGATACAATGGCTGCAAGCGGTCGTTCTTGCGCAAGGCGGACCTCCGTCGTCATGAGGCGGCTCATGATCGCAGGGGCGGGTGGAAATGCATGCTGTGCGGCACCGTCCTTTCTCGACATGACGCCGGCATGCGGCACAGCACTGGGCGGCATAAGGGCGAGAAGCCACTCCTCGAGTTTCTCGATGTCATTGACGAATGAGGCCAGGCTTGAGCCCTAGCCGCCCGGCCAAATGAGCTAAGTATGCGAACCATATATTGACGACCTGTATGCCATATGCATATGCGTGCTGGGACAGTTGGACCTGGCGTTCTTGTACTGTCATGATGCTTATAACAGTGTATGCTTACTACAAAATTTTGTATTCGACTTCATCGGCTGACTGGCACCTCAAACCGGTTTCCAGACAGACGAGCTACTGTACAAGCAGCTGCTTCTGTCTGACTCGAGATGCCACAATCCAAGCCCGTGACCACGTCACAATATGTACTTTTGCGCGTCCGAGTCCGAGTCCCGAAGTCCGCATGCATTCATAGCCGCTGGCATGAGTATAAGTGCAGGCTTTGGCCCTCTCCTGGCAGAGCTTCATCGTCCATGTCATCGACTCTCTTCCCCTCGTCCTACTATGCCACCTACCTCCACCGTTTCCGACTCAGTAGAGTACGCGCACTCAGCCACGTCTTACCCAGTGGAGGAATCCATAATGGATGAACCAGAGACGAACCAGGGCCCGGGGCCGGAGCGTTCAGAACACCGGGATAGCGCTGTATGCCACTTGCTATCCCTATGCTCATGGTAGCCTCTGACCCACTTGGGTTGCTCCGCAGATTCGTCTCGAACGTGTGGCGCACAACAAGGCTACAGGTATTTGTATCGCTGGCGACGATCCCAATACCATCCAAAGTCCTCCAGACGCTCGATCTGGTTCTGTGGCACTCTCCGACGACCATGTCTCAAGCAATGGTCAACATCAAACTTCGTCCTATGTACGGCGCCACCTGGATGGGCACTGGCGGTCCGAACCAGTCCTAGTCACTACTTTCGCTGTCACGCAGTGGCTCCGCTTGAAAGAACCGAACCAGGAGCATGGAAAAGCCTTACGCCGTGGCGCGCAACCTGAAAACCATGCCGAGGGGCGGGATGTACCTGCGCCATATCAGTTAGACCCGGACCCGGACCTGGAAGAAGAAGAGACAGTAATGTCTTTGCTGGCGTGCATGCCTGCAACTGCGAGGAGTCGGTCCATCATTGTTTCTCAGTCTGCTGAGGTCGCCTCGGCATACACGCCCTCCACAGTGTCGTCTGCACCTCTCGCGGAGACCGAGTCAACGCCACTCACGTCGACATCGCAGCAGTATGGTCCTATGAGCGAGCCCGCTTCCGATTCATCCATCTCACGGCCTAGCTCTCCCACGATCTCGCAAGCATCGTCAAGTGAGCTCAGCGAAGATGACGCGTACAACGAATACACACCTGAGGAGGATCCAGTAGATGTTAGCAGCAGCGGCGACTCAGGTAAAGCACAAGGCACCAGGGAAGTCGGCAAGGTCAAGAATCGCAGCGATCAAGCTGCTCGTAACGTCGCATCGGGATCCATGATGACCAGGAGTCGGAGTCGCAAAGCTGGCGCGGGACATGCTACAACTCGTGCCAAGACCGGCTCCAGGGTGAGAGTCCCGCGCGCGAAACCGCAAAGTGCGCACTCTGCCCCCAAGCGCGACAACACGCCGAGAAATCTGCTTCACTGCAAATATGTCGATTGCGATTACTCGTTCCTGGCGAGTAGAGACCTCAAGCGCCACGAGGCGACCCATACCGGCGAGGACAGGTGGAGATGCCTGCGATGCCAGAAGATACTTGCCCGACACGACTCCGCTTTGAGGCACAGTAGGCGGCATGAGGGCCGCCCTCTCCTCGAGCGCGTCGAAGCTGCAGAGGAGTGAGGGCGCCGCCACCATCCTTCATATTGTGTCAATTCTCTTGATCGACCTATGCTATGTACGCATGCAATGCACACACGGCCATGCATGGCCTTCCCCCAAATGCCGCCACTAGATGTACGAGGACGTTAGTAAAGTAAACTTTATACTATGACTGGCAATGTATGCTTACAGCACTATGGTCCCAAATCGCTTCATCCCCACTTTCTGAACCATGCCGGACTGGCCATCAGGCTTACTGAGAACAGTGTACAACACAGCTTTATTTATCACACTACTCACTACCAGCTACATCAGAGACGTCCGTGCGCTATCGACCATCTCGACGTGGTCCTCTCGCTCGGCCGAGACCGCCTCCCAGTCGTCTCCGTGCGCCCACCTCGCGCGCAATCGTTCGAACCGGTCTTTCGCGATCGCTGTCAATGAGAGCCGGTCAGGCTCACAACAAGGCGAGCAGTGCTCTCGATGACGTACAGATGGCGTTCAGCGTGGACGAGAGCTCTTCGCGCTGCGTCATATAGTACACGGGGATGCCCGCCAGGATAAAGCCTGCACTTCGCGTCAGCATGAGAGAGGGACAGTTGAGGCACATATCAACCTATTGCGGCCAACGCCTGCGTCGGCGCGGCCTTGATGGGCATCGACAGCAGGAAGATGCAAACCTGTGCACTTTTAGTTGCGAATCACACGAACCGGCCATGATGAGTGACGCACGGCGCAGAAGATTATAGGCGTAGTAAGCCACGTCTTGTACGGCCTGCACGAAGAATGTTAACGATCAATCCAGCCCAATCACGACGCCTCAAAATGCATACCGTTCCAATTGCGGCTCCTTCATACGCAGCACCAGCACACCCAGGACCTACACGGCCAGCGCACCGTCAGCCTCCGCGGACACCACCCGACCGAGCGTCGCTACTCACAGTGAGGAAGTAGAACGTCCACGCGGCGACGACCGAGAAGTTGATCAGCGACCGAAAGCCGCCCCCAACGACGATGAACGTGATCGTCAGCGTCGCCTGCAGGCCCATCGCGTTAAGCGGTGTCTGCAGGCGCTTGTTGAGCTGCCCGAACACCGCGGGGAGGTAACCCTCCTTGCCCGCGGCGTAGATCAGACGGGACGAGGTGAAGGCCGAGCCTGCGCGGTGTCCGTAGTCAGAGTCATTCTGAGTAAATACTCGTTTATCATGGGTGAACGAACCGTTGAGGGCGCCGAAGCATGAGATGGCGACCATCAGCGCGAAGACGATCCCGCCGACGGGACCGAAGAGCGCGCGGCCAAAGTCCAGGGCCACGGTGTTACTGCGCGCCAGGGTTGCCTGTGAACGTAATACGGCGTTAGTGCGATGTCAAGTCCGTCAGTCCTGGGACGCGCCTTGTCGAGCACGACAAAGTACGATAGGTTCGCGAGGAAGAAAAGGATCTACACCACGAGTCAGCAATTGAACGTGGCCGTGGCGCAAGACCACACTCACGATCACAGCACCCATACTACAGTGGATCGCCCTCGGGATATTCCTCTGCGCGTCCTTCATCTCGCCGCCGACGTAGTTCGCCTGGTTCCATCCGTCGAACGCCCACAAACCCGAGTAGAG